GTAAGCCGAGAGGACTTCGCTAATTAAATCAATATAGAAAGGATAATTAAGATATTTAACTACTTTAAAAACTAATTAACTATTATAGAAAATACAATTAATTAATGTAAAAAGTAATTAACTAATTGTAAAAAGATAATTAACTAACGTAAAAAAAAAAAATTAACTAAAGTAAAACGATAACAATAAAAATAAGTAGCTAATGTAAAAAAACTAATTAACTAATGATAAAAATTAATTACCTGATAGTAAAACTTAATTAACTACTGTGCCGAAAATCCTGGAAAAAAGTTTAAAAAAATATAAGTTACCGAAAATCAAAGAAGAAAAACAGAAGAAGGGAAAGATGGAGTAAGCAGGAAGAAGAAAATAGGGAGCGGAAAACATGAGGAAATTGAAAGAAAAAAACAAGAAGAGAATGGGAAGCAGAAAACATGAAGAAAGAAGGCAAGAAAGTGAAAAGCAGGAAATTGGAAGAAAAAAAAAGCTAGAAACAAAGCAGAAAACAGGAAGAATAATATAGGAAGCAGAACACTGGAAGAAAAGACAGGAAGAATGGGAAGCAAAAAATAGGGCAAAAAAATAGGAAGAATAAAAGAGAGAACAACAAAACAGGAAGAAGAAAAGAGAGGAAGAAGAATATAGGAAGCAGAAAACCCGAAGAAAAACAGGAAGAAAACAACCCTGACCACAGGTTCAAGGAATGGCCGTCTCGACTCCGATCCAAAATGCCGCCGCCCATTTTTTCCTCCTTTTTTTCTTTTACTCGCCAGCTCAAATACTCCTTAACTGCCTTAATAACCTCCTACAGTTACGCCATTTATCCAATAAATCACCCAGTTTAAAGGAAGGATTTAGAAGCTTCGAGACGGTCTTCAAGGAAGGATTGGAAGCTCCGAGCCAATCGTCGGCAATTAACGAAACAGCTTCGGGTGTCGTTCGTCTCGCGGAGGAGGAGGAGGAGACCAGCGAGGAGGAGGGGAGGGAGAGAGGAGGAGGGAGTAGGAGGATGCCGAGGAGGTGAGGAGGAGGAAGGAGGAGAGAGAGGAGCGAGGGGAGGAGCGAGGAGAGAGGAGGAGGAGGAGAGGTGGAGAGGAGGAAGGAGAGAGGAGGAGCGGGGAGGAGGAGGAGGAGGGGAGGATGGAGGAGGCGGAAGGAGCGGAGGAGGAGGAGGGGAGGAGGTCGAGGGAGAGAGGGGAGGAGGAGGGGAGGAGGAGGAGGAGGAGAGGAGGAGGAGGAGGAGGAGGAGGAGGAGGAGAGGAGGGAGAGAGGAGGAGGAGGAGGGAGGAGGGAGGGGAGGAGCGGAGGAGGAGGAGGAGGAGATGCCAGGAGGATAGGCTGAGGAGAGGAGGAGAGGAGGAGGCCGAGGAGGAGATAGGAGGAGAGAGGAGCGGAGGAGGAGGAGGAGGAAGCGGAGGCAGAGATGGAGAGGAGGAGAGGAGCGAGCCGAGGAGAGAGGAGAGGAGGAGGAGGAGGAGGAGGAGGAGGAGGAGGAGAGAGGAGGAGGAGGAGGAGGAGGAGGAGGAGGGAGGAGTGGAGATGGAGGAGAGCGAGGTGAGGAGGAGTGAGGAGGAGAGGGAGGAGGAGGGAGAGGGGAGGAGGAGGAAGGAGAGAGGGCGAGGAAGATGGGCAGGAGAGGAGGGAGGAGGAGGGAAGGAGGGGAGGAGGAGGGGGCGGGAGGAGGAGGAGGAGGAGAGCGAGGAGGAGGAGGAGGAGGAGGAGGAGGAGGAGAGCCGACGAGGGAGAGGAGCAGGAGGAGGAGCAGGAGGAGGAGCGGGGAGGAGAGGTGAGGAGAGGAGGAGGAGGAGGAGGGGAGAGGAGGAGGTGGAGAGGAGGAGGAGGAGGGAAGGAGGGAGGAGGAGGAGGAGTGAGAGGAGGAAGGAGGAGGGTGAGGAGGAGGGAGAGGAGAGGAGGATGAGGAGGAGGAGAGAGGAGGAGGAGGAGAGGAGTGGAGGAGGGCAGGAGGGGAGAGGGGAGGAGGAGGCGAGGAGGAGGAGGACTGCCGAGGAGGAGGAGGAGGGAGGAGGAGGAGGAGGGAGGGGGGAGGAGGGAGGTGGAGGAGGAGGAGCGAGGAGTGAGGAGGAGGAGGAGGAGGAGAAGGAGGAGGTGAGGAGGAGGTGGAGGAGGCGGAGGAGGAGGAGGAGGAGGGGGAGGATGCGAGGAGAGGAGAGGAGGAGGAGGAGGAGGGAGGTGGAGGAGGAGAAGGAGGAGGATGCGAGGAGGAGGAGGAGACTGCGAGGAGGAGAGAGAGGAGGAGGAGGAGGAGGATGCCGAGCCGAGGAGGAGGAGGAGGGAGGGAGGAGAGAGGAGAGGAGGTAGGAAGGAGGAGGATGCCCGAGGCAGGAGGAGGAGGCCGGAGGAGGGAGGAGGAGGAGGAGGTGCCGAGGAAGGAGGAGGAGCGGAGGTGCGAGGAGGGAGGAGGAGGAGGATGCCGAGGAGAGGAGGAGGCAGGAGGAGGAGAGAGGCCGAGGAGGAGTGAGCCGGAGAAGGAGAGGAAGAGGAGGAGAGAGGATGCGAGGAGGCAAGAGGAGGTGGGAGGAGGAGGAGGAGGAGGAGGAACGAGGGAGGCAGGAGGAGGAAGAAGAGGGAAGAAGAAGAGAAGAAGGAGAAGAAGAGGAAGAAGAAGAAGAAGTAAGAGAAGAAGAAGAAGCGAAGAAGAGGAAGAAGAGGAAGAAGAAGAGAAGAAGAAGAAGAAGAAGAAGAAGAAGAGGAGAGAAGAAGAAGAAGAAGAAGGAAAGAAGAAGAAGAAGAAAAGAGAAGAAGAAGAAGAAGAAGAAGAAAAAGAAAAGAAGAAGAAGAAGAAGAAGAGGAGGAAGAAGAGAAGCGAGGAAGAAGAAGAAGAAGAAGAAGAAGAAGAAGAAGAAGAAGAAGAAGAAGAAGAAGAAGAAGAAGAAGAAGAAGAAGAAGAAGAAGAAGAAGAAGAGGAGGAGGACCATCACTGCCCGCTCGCTCATCTCACCGGAACTGACTCTTTTCGTGGCTTTCTCCCTTGTTTTTTCCTTGTCTTTTTATCTCTCTTCTCTTTTTCTTTCTTTCTTCTTTCTTTCTTTCTCTCTCTCTCTCTCTCTTTCTCCTCCTTTTCCTCTACCCCATCTACTCCTTCACCCTCACCCTCTCCTCCTCCCTCAGTCTCTTTCTTCTTTGCCCTCTCCCTCACCTTCTCATTTTGCTTTCCCTTCTCCCTCTTCCATTCATTCCTTTCTTCCTTCATTTCCTCTTTCTCCCTGCTTCTCTTTATCCATCTGCTTCTTCTCCCTCTCCTTCCCCTTTCTCCCTCTCTCTCTCTCTCCTGGTTCCTCTCATCCTCTTATTTCTCTTACACTTATCCCTGCTCTTGCTCTTACTTTATCTGCTATTTATCTCTCTTCTTCTCCTCCTCCTCCCCCCCCCTTTCCTTCCCTTTCTCCCTTTCCTTCTTTTCTCTTTCTCCTTCTTCTCCCCCCTTTCCTTCTCCTTCTCCTTCCCTTACCCCCCTTTCCTTCCTTCCCTCCCCCCCCTTTCCTTTCCTTCCCTTCCTTCCTTTCCTTCTCCTTCTCCCCCCCTTTCCTTCTTTCTTCTTCGAGGGTAGACCGTGCGACCGCCCCCCCCTTCAGTTACGAAATAAAATGACGTATATTGCAAAAAAATCCTTACAATGAACCTGTGCACTTTTGCGATTTTGATAAAATAAACACGACTGTATTATTTCATGCTATACAATTAGGGAAAAACTTTTAAAACAAACCATTTATACATTTATACAATTATGTATATTTAATTAAGAAAAAAAAAGAATACATTCATACATTTATACAATTATAGGAGATTTTATTAAGAAAAAAAAACAGGAATACATTTATAAATTTATACAATTAATGGAAATAAAAAATAAAGCAGAAATAAATCTATACATCTATACAATCAATGAGAATTTTAAGAAACGAAACCGGAATACATCTATACATTTATACAATCAAGGAATACATAACAAATCAGTATTTCAAAAATAAAACACAGATCTATTTCTACATATAATCAAAAAAGAACTTTAAAACAAAACCAACACAAAAGTTTTTTTTTCTTTTTTTTTTTAATGCAATCCCGTCTTACCTTACTAAATAAACAAAGTTCTGCCAGGCGAACTTGAGGAGATATCAAATCATGATTTATCCGAGATGAGAGAGAGAGAGAGAGAGAGAGAGAGAGAGAGAGAGAGAGAGAGAGAGAGAGAGAGGAGAGAGAGAGAGAGAGAGAGAGAGAAGAGAGAGAGAGAGAGAGAGAGAGAGAGAGAGAGAGAGAGAGAGAGAGAGAGAGAGAGAGAATGAGCGTGAGTCGATAAGGTCTGAAATTCTCTTAATATAATTGTACGTGCCGTGTGGTGGTGAGCGGGGTGGTGGTAGAGAGCTCGTGTGCGTGAAAGTGTGTGTAAGCGTGTGTACGTCTCTGTCTCTCTCTCTTTCTTTCTCTCTCTCTCTGTATGTCTTGTGTGTGCGTGCGCTGTATGTGTGTGGTGTGTATGTGTGTGTGACAGAGAGAGAGAGAGAGAGAGAGAGAGAGAGAGAGGAGAGAGAGAGAGAGAGAGAGAGAGAGAGAGAGAGAGAGAGGAGAGAGAGAGAGAGAGAGAGGGAAGAGAGAAGAAGAGACAGAGAAGAGACAGAGAGAGAGAGAGACAGCGACAGACAGACAGACAGACACCAGACAGACATATCCATAAAGCAACCGACACACGCCCAAGGGAAGTGGCCTCGATCAACGCCTCCCTCGAGATGTGATGAAAAAATAATAAATAAATAAAAATATATATAGAAGATATAAAAATAAATAGAAAAAAAGCTGAAGAATTTTCTTGACAAAACCAGCTGCTCTCAGTCTTAGCGGCATGACTGCGAACGCCAGAATTTATCATGAATTAAGCCGATATCGAATTAAAATGACTCGACTACGAAGGCCTGACCGAGACCAAGGGGTGACTAATACATTCGCATTTTTCTCCTTTTAAATGTCGAAATTTGCACCGCCAGGGAAGGAAATTCGCATCCATAGGACCCCAAGAATTGAGGAAAGGATGAGTACCAGGTGAGAGCGGATGAGTAAATGGTGAGTGACCGTGACCTGAGTGACGAGCAAATTCAGCACCCCTCCCCCTGCCCCCTGCCCACCGCCCCCCGCCTTTTCAACCTCCTCTCTTAGAAAAAAAGGTTGTCGTCCGTCCAACACAGAGCAATTAATAAACTCTCACATTCTTCTTTTTAAACCTCACGATCGGACCTCCCAAGGACGCCTAATCGACCTGCTAAACGCTTAACACAGCAGGCGCAGGCTTTAAACATTACATAAAAGGCGCTCCGTCCGCTCTCGCCTGGCCACCGACCTTGCAATAACACCCTTCAACTCTGCAACATTCACTAACCGAGGGAGAGCGGGAGGCGAAGAGGGACTCGAGTGGGAGTCGACGGCGGTTCCTTCGTCCTGTTCTGGCCGGCGATCCCGTCCACGTGCTTCCTCCTTATGACAAACCGGTTCGAGCCACAGCGGAACCTCAAAATTCATCCACATACATCAAGTACTTCGGGAAATACATCAGCGCATCACACTGCACGCGCGGGAGAGGCTTCTCGGCGCGACAGAGGACTCCTTCCGAA